AAGGGGGGGGGGGGGGGGGGGGGGAATCCAAAACATATCAAAGACAGCAGGCACCAGACTCAGGAAAGATTGGGAATTCTCATCACCCCCAGCAACCCAAGGGAACACATTACACCCTTCTTCTGAGAAGAGCTATCTCAAGAAGGAAAATCTTTTCATTGTGGAGGGACTAGGAAGAAGGAAGCCCAGTCCCCTCAACCCCCAAACTGGAATCAGTCCCAGAGAGAGCAAGGGCCCCGTCCAGTGTTAAAACAAGCCCCATCATTTCCTTACCCCAATCCAAGTAATTTGCTATGTACACCCCACAGATACCCCTCCCTCCCCCTCAGTGATTCTCAATGCACGACCCCCTTCCCAGCCTGAAGGAAAACACTAATTCACCGCAGGGGGACCCCGAGGAGGAGGAGGAGGAGGAGGAGGAGGAAGCTACACAGATCTGTCCATCGGCCTCCTTCCAAGGGAAGAGCAAGGCAGGAGCAGAGTTACAGTCCTCCGATCCCCTGCAGTTCCACAGGAGATCTCGGCGCGGGTGCCTCGGTGCGCCAACAGGCAGTCCTCTCCAGCTAGGAACAAGAGGGGCGCATTCGGTCCGTGGAAGTCCCTTGACTGTCCTTTGGAAACGCGAGCGAGGCTGAAGAGGAGCTGCAGCAGGCGGCGGCCCCTTCGCGGAAAATCAGCGCTTCCCACCTTCAAGCGGGCGGCGCGCGCGCGCTTGCTCCCCCCCCACCCCCGAAGAGCGCGGTCCGACCCCTCCCCGGTTTGTTCTGCGTGCGGCGCTCCTCCGCCGGGCTTCAGGCGCCAGCTCAGTCCCTTCACACCTGTCGCCCGCCCCCTCCCCCGCCGTCCATCGTATTATAGCACCTTGCAGCAATTGATGCAACCGTTCTGGGTGCCGTAGCGCTTCTGCAAAGCTGCCCTCGTGGCCGTCTCAAAAACCTCCCGCACGCCTTCCTTAGTCTTGGCGGAGCACTCGAGGTAATCGTAGGCTTGGATGCGAATGGCCATGGCCCGGCCGTCCTCGGTGCGGACGGGCTCCTGCTTCATGCGCGCCAGCTCGTTGCGAACGTGCTCGTCGTTGCGTAAGTCTTTCTTGTTGGCCACCAGGATGATGGGCACGTTGGGGCAGAAGTGCTTCACCTCGGGCACCCATTTCTCCGGGATGTTCTCCAGGGAGTCGGGGCTGTCCACCGAGAAGCACATGAGGATCACGTCAGTGTCTGGGTAGGAGAGGGGGCGCAAGCGGTCGTAGTCTTCCTGGCCGGCCGTGTCCCAGAGCGCCAGCTCCACCTGCTTGCCGTCCACCTCGATGTCAGCCACATAATTCTCGAACACGGTGGGCACGTAGACCTCCGGGAACTCGTCCTTGCTGAAGACGATCAGCAGGCACGTCTTCCCGCACGCCCCGTCTCCGACCACCACCAGCTTCTTGCGGATCGCCGCCATGGCCAGGGTCACCAACCCCGCCCTGTTCTGCTGCTCCAGCAGGGAGACCGAGGCGCCCTCTTCCCCGCGACTGGCCGCCGCTACTCCTGCCTCCCCGCGCTTTCTACAGGGCAGCGTGGCGAGAGGAGCGGGCGGCGCTCTCTTCTCCGGGCGCCGGGGGGAGCGACGGCTTTTCCGCACGGCTTAGGACGCGGGGAGCCGCCCACTTCGCTCCGGCCGCAGTTCTGTTCTTTGCGGGCTCCTCCGCGGCCCTCTGCCCGTTTGCACGGAGAAAGGGTCTCCGCTGCTGGCTGCCTTCTTCCGCCCCAGAGTCCCTCCGAGGGGACGCGGAGGCAAGATGGAAGAAACCCAAAGCGCAAGGGCAAGAAATTGGAGGCAGCGTTTCTGCAAGTTTTGCCCGGCTGCCCACCTCTTCCTTTTCTCAAAGAGCGCTGCAAATCGAGCGCGCCCTTAAGCAAGCGACTCCTCCAGCCAGGCAGGTCCTCCGTACTTTATGCCATAGCACCGCGACAGTCGGACGCTGGTATTTAAAGGGGCCGGCGACTTTCTTAATATAGCTGGCCAATGGAAAGGAAGAGGGTGAGGTCATTCTTTTGGAGGAAGCTGATGATTGGTGGAGAGGATTGCAGGCGCTGGGGAGGGGGAAAGCAGGAAGTGACTGACGGCCGATCATGAAAGAGGGAGGGGTCTTTCTGCTATTTCGCGAGCTGCTGAGATTTTTGAGGGAATCCGAATCGGAAAGAGGGGAAGATACTCGGTTTTACGTCTTTGTCCGCCCCCCTTCCTCCTCCCGGTGGATGCGATTTCAGTTTATCCCAAATTCCCTGTTCCAATCTGGAGAGGTTTTAAAAAAAAAGTTTCGTCCAAGGCAAAAATGTTTATCCTCTCTGTAGCCTTCCCATCTCACTCTCGTCTCCCCCCTCTGCACTAGTTTGTATAAACGATACACGCTAGCTCCGCTTGGTCGTCAAGAAAGAACCACAAAAGATGGCTTAACAGAGGCCCTGCAGATTTTTCTGTGTGGTATTTTGATTTTAGAGCTTAAATTAAACAATTCTCCACATTGTTTTGTTTTTAAGTGTAGTTGGTCACTTGTTGCTAAGCCCACTGGGTTCAGTTCGAGTCAACCATCCAGTTTAGTTTAAAAGGAAGTGATGAAAGTAGTCTGGCATAAATGGTTTAGATTATGATCTAAATTTTTATTTATTTGTCAGATTTATATATCCGCCCATCTCACACAAAGCGACTCTGGGCAATGTACAACCATTATTTTTTAAAAAAACAATTGTATGTAAAATACTTTATGATTACCAGAACTGTAATTGCAAGGGTTTTATTTCCACATATATCCATTCCATTCATTACTGTCATGCCTTCTATGGTGAATAACCATTCTCAGGCTCGCAGCTTGTATATTCCTTGTGGCTGTCAATATTTCTTGTTGAACTGCTGATATTGTTGTCAACCAACCCTCAATATTCTTGAGTCTCATATCCAAATCAGGTACAGGTTTACTTGATGCTTTACCAGGAGATTGTGTTGACGATTTACGTCGCTGTCCGTAATCCATATCACTATGGCTACTCCTCTTCTGCGTTTGTTCTCCTTCAGTTACTTTTTTAACAGGTACATCAGTACTTTTCTTTAATTTTTGCATTAATTCGTTTTTTCATTTGATATTTTTCTTCATTATCAAGACCATCATCTTCATCACAATATCCATCCTCTTCTTCCTCATCTGAATTATCACTTTCATTTGCTTTTTCACTTTCAATGGCAGGAAGGGAACTCAGATGTGGATCATCTTTAAGTAAATCATGACTGCTTTTGCTTTTTCCTTTCATGCTCTGACTAACTCTGTTGACTTCTACTCCTTCCTCTTCAGCTTCATCTCCAAATGAAAGCAGGCTAAAAAATTTTGTGCCCTTTGATTTTGCCTTCTCGACTTCTTCCACTAGTTTCTCATTCCTCACTTTTTGCTGGTCCTTGGAATTATTTCATCAAAGGATTAAATAAAACCTCTGTACTTGTTATTTTATATGGATTGGTTGCTTTTTCATCCATGCCAATTTCAACTTCTGAAAGTCACAACATATTATATATAGTATCTCCAGTGATTTTTCCAAAGATAGTGTGTTTGTTGTTAAGTTTGTCCGCATGACCCAAAGTAAAGAAGAACTGGCTGCTGTTATTGTGAGGCCTGGAATTTGCCATGGCAATTAGTCCTCATCAGTTAAAATGCAATTGTGAATGGAATTCATCCTTGAAAGAGGCTCCACAGATAGATTCTCCTCCTGAGACAGTACCAGTTGGATCACCACCTTGTACTATAAATTCAGGTGCAATCCTATAAAATATGATGTTGTCATAATAGTCTTCCATACAAAGCTGAACAGAATTCTGACCTGCTTTGGGAGCTTTTTCTGACCATAATTCAATATCAATATCTCCAGCTGTTGCTTTCAATAAAACCTTGGCAGTTCCTGGATGTAAATATTGCTCATGGTGAACGCTTCCACACAGCCACTGCCCTGCACGAGTATCCCACCCTTAACAACTACCCAGTGGATGAAAAACTTTGTCAGTGATCATCCCCCGCAATCCTCTTAATTTGTTATAGCCCAAGCCCTCCTCAAGCTGAAGTCATCTTTTGTAGTACAAGGTCAGGGCTGTTTATGCTGACATCCCCCACCTTCTTCTCCAGATATAGCACCATCCTTTTCAACATTGAACATTCTTGGAGTATTTTATTTTCTCATTCTGCATGTACGAGGAAAGAATAATAATAATAATAATAATAATAATAATACCCTACCCCTTGAGATCATGGAGAAAATCTATGTGGTTGTTAAGAGTCAACAACACTTGATGGCGCAGATCATCATCACACCATAGGAGAGATTAGATTAGATTAGATTACAGAGAAGACATAATGAAACTCAGTTCCTTGGGAATAAGTTAGAAATCATTTGAAATAACAAATTCCCAGTACAGTTTTAAAACAGAATTTCAAGAGAGTTTTTGCTTTTCTTCAACACATTATGGTACCAGAATGTTCACTAAAAAAGAAAATTCCAGAGAACTGTCACCCTAGTAAGTCAACATACTAGCAGTACTGAGTGCTGTGCAGAATCATGTAAGGTGGATTTTGAAGTGCAGAATGCAGAAGCTCATTGTAACAATCCCTGTGAGACATACATACCCCTAAAGATTAGCAGAATACTCAAATGTATTTATTGTCATTTAACCAATGACAGTCACAGAATAATGCGTTGGCAAAGGATTGGTTAGCATTTGAGTTTACAAGACTCACAGGGGTTCTGTATAACCTGCTAGATGCCAATGGTGAGGCCTCAGCGATTTTATTTAGAGGACATAAACAGCTTCAACTTACCCCTGATTCTGTGATTACAGCCAATCTCAGTAAAAGTAGTTTCAGCCTTCCTGTGGAGTTGATTTCTTGGTCTGGTGTACCTAATGGGGCTCATATCACAAGTCTGATTATGTTGCTCCTCCTCCTCCTCCTCCTCCTCCTAGTTTAGCAAATTAGGGAGGTGTCTGGCTGAGTCACTTCCAAGTATTATCTGTCTGTTGTCTGTTAAAATATGTTTTACCTCTCATCACCCTGGCAATGGATCTTGCATATGTCCATCAAGGTCATCTTCCTTTCTCTCTACATATAGACCACTCCCTCCTGCTTCACTCTATTTATTTGTATTTATTTATATTTCAAATTTCTCACCGCCCGTCTCACTGAAGGTATGCCCCCTTTGTCCCTGTTATCAGACTAATTTTTGCCCAACTTACTAATAATAGGCATGGAAGAGGGGATGTGCTGAGTGCAAGCATTGGGAGTGTTCCCTCTTATGTCGCTAGATTGGGCCACTGGACAGGTGGTTAAAGCCACTGCTCTAAGCAACTGTCTAAACATTGCCCTACCCCACTCCAGCCATATTAGGGAGAGTGATTGGTTCCCCCTGCCTCCCTGCCCCCACTGGCAGATGAAGCTTAGTGAAAACAGAAATGAAGCTGGGGGAATCTACTAATCTCTTTCCTAAAGGTGACCCTCAATAAGTAAGTAAGGATAGCAGCATTTTTTGGTCTCATTACTCTGGTTGAATAGGAGTTGGCAGTGGGGATTGCACCATTTATGTCAGCATACTTTTCCACTGGTTGAAGGACTAGTGGAAAGTATTTGAACCAGATTAGAGGAAAATTTTGTATTCTTCCCAGTAATTAATTTCTCTTCCAGGAACACTCCCTCTTGATCCCCCCCCCCCCACACACCAGCCCACTCTGACTTCTTCCCCATAGTTCTCCTTAATCTTTCATTACTTTCTGCCTTCTCCCCCACCCTGCTTCTTCTTCTCCAGAGATGGACTATTTCCAACTCAATCCCAGTTACCCCATTTCTTCATCCCACTCCCAGCTGTTCTTTCCTTCTGTTTTGTTTTTTTTTGTTTTGTTTTTCCCCAGCACCCAGGACTGCTTTAAAGAAACAAGATGGATTTTAGCCCTCCATCATCTTTGCTACTTATGAATGTCGAAGAGTTCGTGGAGAGTCCCCCAAGGGGCCCAGGGGAATGGTTGGCAATGGCTGAGGACCAGTATTGCAGTCATCCATTAAAAAAAAATCATTTGTTTTTAAATAATTGGCATTAGAGGGGCATTTCATAGGGGCAGTGATAGCTGTTCACATGTACCATGTAGCTTATCCCCCATTAAACATCAAAATCTCCCCCCCCCCCCCCCCCCCA